GGGGGCTCCAAAGGCCGCTGCTGATCGACCTCTTCCTGGTGAAGACTCTGAGTCGGATGATGAGTTTGAGTTTTTGGAATTTCTAGGAGTGTGGTTGATGAAGTCCACACAGCACAAAACAACAGGTGTACCCCCTTTCAGCTTTTTGCATTTCGCATCTTCGATGATGTCACAGGTTGCCTTGAACACAAAGGCATTCGCTCTGATTTGGCTCAAGAAAAGGACCGCTTGACTCTCGCGGTCGCATCGTCCACTCGACCTTTCATAGAAACAAACATCAACAAACAAAGCCAGATTGGCTTCACCTTTAGCTTGCCAAAAAATAAGACTCAGTCTTCTTAACTCAAGAAATTTAGTTCGCCTAGTCCACATCCTGCCATTGGCTCGCCAAAACTGCTCAGCGCACACACGCACATACACATACACACGGAGACATCTTTCTTTTGCCTCAAGCAGCGATGAGAGCAGAAAGGCTTGCTCATTCGTGCACTGGACGAAAGGGTGTGGGCAAGACTCGACTGAATGTGGTGCAATCTAGAATCTAGAGTTGATCTGCCACCCGCGCAAGTTGAAAGGATCTGACAGAAGCTACGTGCATGAAGCATCATAAGTAAGCATCCAAAACCATCATGAGTCTCACTGAATCTTTCCAGCATTGCCCACGGGGTTCTCAGCTATCTCTCCACCGTATCACGAGCCTGAACGTATTACAGGCTGTGCTCTCAGCATGGAGGAAGAGCGCCAGGTGCGCGGAACCCACCCCCTGACTCAGGGGCCACAAAATTGAAGCTTCTGGCAGAACCCGAAAGGAATTCCATAGGTCCATAAGTGGAATTTGTACAAAGATCGGGGAACCGTGTGGTGCCGTGAGCTAAATGAGACACTAGCTTTGCATCTGCAGAAGCATAAGCATGGTGTTGTCAGCTCTTTCTTTCCATCGTGTCACAAGCCTCAACGTGCTGAAGGCTGTGCTCTCAGCATGGAGGAAAGTGCGACTAAAGCTTCTCGCAGAAGCATTTGTTGCGAACAAGGCAGTTAGATGCGATGTCTAGAGTCTAGATTTACTAAAAGTTTGCAATACATAATGCAACTGCATTTTAGCGCTCAGTCGGTGTGGAGTCCCGGGTCTGGAATACTGCTTGCCTGAGCGCCAATGCATCAAAACATGTCAATCATTTCACTGCAGTTTGACACAAAACTGTCAGCAAAATGCAGTCTGGGGACACCAAGCTGCTTCTTCCAGATATCCTGCCATTCCACGGCCTCTGACAGTTGCAGTAGAAGCGGAACACAAGACTTTACATGGTTGGTGACAAACAGTGAGGGATAACTCCAAGTCCAGGCGATTGGTAGATGAATCCATCAGCCAGCCGGCCCGCCTATTTCTTCAGAGGAATCACTGCGCACGAAAGGTGGCCCGGACCTCCTCCACAATCTGCCCCAAAGCTGTTTGATAGAAGTCCGTCACTGGCCGTGTGTACTGCACTGTGCGGGGCACCGTGCGAGTTGCAGTGCGGTATTTCGTCACAGCTCTCTGCCTCGTCACGGTCCGGTATAGTGTCACTGGCCTCGTCCTCTCCTCTGTTCTATACTTTGTCACTGTGCGAGTGCGGGTGACTGGCCTGAGCTTTTGCACTTCCACGTCCACCCACTTGGTTTCCAATGTGGTCCGGCGCTTCTTTTTACCATACCAAGTCTTCCCGGTGTGAGTCACTTCCACTGGCACCGCTTGCTTCTCAATGGTGGTGTAGGGCTCATTCTCTTCGTACTGTTCCTCCTCTGAGTATGGCACAGAGACAGAATAGTGCTCGTGATGGGTGTAGGGTTCCTGCTCATCATAGTCTTCCTGCTCGGTGTATGGCTCAGCAAACCTTAGGGCACGCAACGATTGCTCGTGATTCAAGCTTGTGTAATGTCTACAACGCCTCAGGTTGTATGTTGGGGGCTGCGTGTGGGTCAACACTGACCCAAAAGACCAATTCTATTCCCCATGCTGGGGCCACAAGACTTGCAAAGCTCATGCTTGATGACTTTGACGCGCGAAGGCGCAATTCTGGCTGCCATTGCGACTAGAACTCTGCTGTTGCTGAGGCGGCAACGCCACACCTTGTCAAACACGTATCTGCCGAGCCACGATTCCTCAACCTGCACCTCTCGTGTGCGCGGAGACTGACGATCGCAAAGCTCCTGTGCTCGACGCCGCTGCCTCTGCCGGAGATCTTCCAACTGAGTTGTGGACACACCTGGCACAAATTGCTAAGCCACTGGACTGGATGGTAGGGGGTTGGCTGAAATGATTTCAGAATGAGGCGACATTGAATGAATTGAATGAATACTTCGGATGCCTGAAAAATCCGATCAAATCACCAAGCCTGGCACTCGTTCAAGGGCAGCTTTAAGCACTCCCACTTGTGCGTCCGTTTCGGCCTCGTTTAAGGACTCGGCATGCTGCCACAACACTAGCTCATCGATGCTCTGCTCTGCCATAGCTGCACGCAATGCTTGCATGCGCACCTCACGTGCTTGCCCTGTGCGCAAGTCGGCTTGTGAGGCCACCACTACTACTCCCGGGAGAATGGAAGCGCCGAAAGTAGCAACTAGGGATGCCAAAGTAGTCCTGAGTTGTATTGCTGGCGCAGCCAAGCTCTCGAAAACAAGGACCTTCAGGCGTTCAGCATTCGCAGCCGCCACTGCAGCTGCCCAGCGAAACCCTGCCTCTTCGTTGGTGAATCGTAGCATGGAGTCATTGATGCCAGGCCCATCCACCACGGGTCCAATGG